AATAAGCATTTATCTTATATTGTAGCAATGTTGGTTTGGGAAAAGGTATTCCATATTCTTGGTTCCATTACTCTGTGCCAACGCGACCGGTCGCGTATTAAACCTGGCTGTATGGTTTAGAAACGATTGGGAAATATAGCGGAGGTAAATATAAAATTACACTGGCAAACGTAATAAACACACAAATATTGCGCCGGGAATTATGTTACATTTTAATGTTTAATTGACTGACGAACGAGCGAACGAGCAAGTACAGTGCACGATAAACAACAAGCAGTACACAGTTTTCGGAATGCGCGGAAAATTCTATTCGATCAAAAATCAGTGGTACATTGCGCGCAGTGTACGAACGCATTTTCTGTTTTATATGGGCGCGTTGATAAATTGTTATTGTAATACAATAGCAGGACTCCGAGCACATACGCTCGCGCGCGTGCAATGAACGGTGTGCGATTACGCTCATCTTGATTATAGTGGACGTAGAGAATGTCAAATGTAGATGGCGAGTGGGAGTCGTTAAGTATTGTGAATATATATGTGAATTCGGTGATAATATAGAATTACGTGTATTATCCGTTATATTAGTGCGTCTGTGTGTGTGTGTGTGTCTACGCAGATTGTAACTGTAATTCTTCCAAATAGATTAGATATCACGATTCCTCGTGATATTTTTAAATTGTGGATTTACGAATTGCGACACTGAATTATCGTTTCTTTCGCATATTAGCTGTTTTTACTTTTTTCAAATAGAGTGAAACTCCCCTGAAACTAGAGAATCTCTAGTCATATTGAATATAATGTTACAAAAGTGCAGAGACCATAGAAAAGATATATTTATTTGTTTTGTGGAATTTGAGGAAAATAAGATGCAATATATTATCAAACGCACAGTAGTGTCGCGACGGTAAATACATAAAGTACATAAATCGTAAAATGTCGTTATCCTCTCTCCATGAGATGAATGATAGATCGCGGCACTGGTAAAAATTTTAAGTTTCATAGAATAGACGTTAATTTTACTATTATAAAAAAATATATGTTAATTTAATTGATATAAAAACTAGACATTTTTATATTGTTCTGTTGTATTGATTAAAAATTTACAGAAATTCTAACTCCCATAGAACCGGCTTTTAATTAAGATCAAAACAAAGTACAAAAACTTAGCATGCATATTTTATATATTCGGATTATGTCTTTAAAACAGTACTCGAAAGACAACTTTATAGTATAAAAATTAATAAAAACTATTCAGTGTCATTAGATATGCTAATGGCACTGTCATTTCATACTATGAACCATCAAATGATAGTTCATAGTATACAAAATCTACAAGAAATATATATTAAGACCAGCAAAGCAGGCATGAGCATTAAAATAAATGTGAATAAATTCAAATATATGGTCTTCAGTTAAGCTCACCATTTTACGGCTGAATTGCAACCAAATAATCGGCTAGTACAACGAGCTCAGAACTTCACATACTTGAAGAGAATAAATCACCGATCAATTTTATCTAAAGTCCAAAATAAAGTAAATAATTGCAATGTTCTGAATATTTTCCAGGATGAAATTCTTTTTCTGCAAAGACAATCTTAATCTAAATCTTAGATAACAAATGGCGGTTATGTTTTGTCTATAATGTTGTATGGGATAAAAGTATGCACCCTCAAAATAACAATAATAAATCGAATTGAAGCCCTCGAAATGTGTATTTATCGGTAAATTCTTAAAATACCTCGAGCCACACGGCAAATCAATGAACAGGTCTTACGGAGAGCCAATGAGTAAGGAACTGCTCATAATAATGAAAACAGGGAAATTACCTGAAATATGTCCTGAGGAACAAATATCGCATATTGATATTGAATGGTAAGATAGAAGATCGTAGAAGCATTGGAAAGAAACAGACTTCATATCTGAACGCGATAGGACGGGAGTTCGTAATTCTGAAGAGCTTATCGCTTAGCCCAAGGCTGAGACCGTAATGTGTTAGCCTGAGTGATCGTTAACGTTAGGGAGACCTGACAAGGGGCATATATAAGAAAAGATAGTTGGTGAATTTTCCAATGATTATAGTGTTCAAAATGTTAGTAAAAGTTGCGATGTGTACTAGTGGACGATTATGCGAGTTAGCTAAAATTAGGACGCTACTAAACTGACTAACGCACTAGCTGGCTCATTATATAACTAGTGCAAAAAATGACTTGTGGAGTAGATAAAACATTCGATAAACAATGATAAACATTTAAGTGAATAATTTTAGCTAATTTTAGCTAAAATTATATTTGTGTATATATGCTAGATGACTGTTAGAAATGAAACTTTTAGTAAACGCAAAGAAAATTATGATCTCAAACAGTCGAAATTTTTGTTGAAAAAGGCAATTGTGTAAAACGTGATGTGATTTTACAGTTTCTCCTTTGTGCAATATAAATTTAATCAATATAATAAAGGCAAATAAGAGCCAACGCTGGTGTATAATTAGAGTTGCAATTAGCAACAATATTTACTGTATAAAATCAATTATATTAATGCATAAGTTCGGACACAATTTATACACATTTCGATCCTCGGTTTGAACCTTCTGTGGTGTTTTTTATAAGAAAAATAGTCCAATAAATAGTAATAACTAATAATAAATCGCACGATTACCGCAACACTGCCCTCACAGCACATTAATATTGTCATGAGGTTACAACAACCTTAAATTGTAAGATGATAACATTACACAGAAGTTAATAAACCTGTCACTTCTAATAACATGAAAATGTTCGTCTATGCTCATTCCATTAACATTACAAAAACCTCATACGGAATGTTATATTAAAGTTAATATAATATGCCTAGTACCTTTAAATATTTTTAATAAGAAATTTTTGATAAAGAAATATTATTTATATTCAGCTTAGTCAATTTATATTGATTTTAAATGAAATTTAGCTTTTTTATTTCATTTCTCACTATTTTCACATCTAAAAATTTACTCAGTACTAGTCAGTACTCGGACGCGAACTTGAGAACTCAAATACTTTTAAGTTCCTAGTCTATCATCTTGGTTGCTGCGCTATTTCTTCAACTGATACTAG